GTTCGTGAACTCTGAGATGCTCAAAGACAACGTCGATGGTGGGTTCTTTGTCGGAGTGAGTGATTTGATTCACAATGTCGTCCATGGTGCTCGGAAATTTGTGAATGACCATATGGCCAATCGCATCGTCAGAAAAGTTCCAGCCGACTTCGATGAGTTGTGACTGAAACGTTTTCATCGTTGTGATGAATCCGGGAATGTCGTTCGGAGTGTACGGAGAACGAAGAAAAGATTGAAAGACTCGGGCCTTGTTGGAGGCTTGATTAGAAGCGAAGAATTCGACGATCGATTTCCAGATCAACTTAGATTGATTCTCGTTGTTGGAGTCGATCACGTTAGCTTGGACAGACGATTCGAGCTTAGCGACTAATATAGCTTTTAAGAAATGATTTTCGTCGTCCGTTAACTTCTTGGTATCCGTAGTCAGAGGCTCCCTGAGTTTAACGACATCCAGGAAATTGAAGACTCGTCGTCTCCAGTGGGTGTAGTTATCCATTGTGAGCAGGGGTATTCCCTCGATGACCGTTTTAAGGACAGATGACTGAATGGCGTCCATAGTAGTCGTCATAGCAGTATTCTGGTTCTTTGAGGTAGAATTGTCGGTAGTCTGAGTTAGAGGTGCGCCTTCGGTTTTCTTGCCAGACATGAACTATTCGGCGGCCGCACTTCGACTGTTAATCGTGTAAAAACTGAGACTGTTTATTTCTAAAGACCAAAGAACCAGATACTAGAAAGAACAAGGTCAGAAGAGAGAAAGCAGAATAATAGATGAGAAGACTTGAAACTAACCCCGAAATGGATAAACTTTTATCCAAGACAGACAACAAGGATTTTAAGAAGAGAAAGAAAGCAGTGACTGATAGAATAATAAAAGGATTAGTTGATTGGACAAAGATTGAATATAGAATGAAAAACAAACCCTATTGATTTAGGTGTGTTGAGTGTTAAGTATAGAAGAAAGAAATAAACACCAATATCTAGAAGAAGACAACTAAGAGAGTTTAAAAGAAAGAGAGTTAGTTATGATCAGAATAAAAAGAGAAGAGATAAGAGAGAGAATATAAAAATAAGAAATGCTCGAAGTGCATTTCTCACCAAGTTGGAAGCTACAAAGGCTGTCCAATGTTAAAGCTTCGCCGTGACTTGTGGACGGTCGAGATTGAGTTGTTTTGTCTTGATCTAGAGCGTTGTTGAGTTGAGCGGTGAGCAGTGATTTGAGCGGTGAGCGGTGAGCAGTGATTTGAGCGGTGAGCGGTGAGCAGTGATTTGAGCGGAGTAGTGATCGATGAGTGTGAGTGAGATCGATGAGGAAGGGGAAAAAAGAGGAAGGAGCGGTTGTTGACGAAGATGGAAGAGCAACCGTGTACTGGCGTTAGGTTTGATTTAATGACAGTCTTTGTTTCACAGGAGTGTCACAAGTTTCTGTGTCACAACTGTTAACTTGGACTCAAGTTTCAACACACATCTGTAGGGGTTCAAAATTGCAATAAAAGTATTGGGGCATATGCCCCCCCGGACATAGCCCCCACATTTCAATTTTGGATTTTGCGGGCGGGGCAGGGTCGGTTTTTGCCGTCCGCAACTGTACAAGTTGGAAACAGTTTTGGCTATGGTACATAGTCTCACTATTCACACAAGCATAGCTTCACATAGCTCCTGGCTATAACATAACTAACAGAAGCCCCCTTGCACCCCGCTTCAGTTTGTGGATTCACACACGGGGGCTTGTTTTTTGTTGTTGTTGTTGTTGCAGCAGTTGAAAAGCTGTCCAAGAGCGTCTTTATTACGGCGCGTTTCGGGTGAGTGGCAATCACCTCCGAGTTTGTATTGAGTCAATTAGGAACCTTTGTTTTTTATGGATTTACATTCACAAAGAATCCGGTGACATTTGATGTGAGAATTAAGTATGTATGGGAGCTGTCTGTCTGATTACGTCATCGATCTTAACTCTGAACTTTAAACGGATCTTCTGCAAAGTTTGGCAAACTCAGCCAGTCAGTGACAAAGACCCGACCAGAACCACAGCTGTGAACCAACACCGAACACAGCACTCCACCACCTCCTTCTTTTCCACCCACCCAAGCAGTACCACTTCACTCCCCCCCCCTCCTCGAGCTCCCGGTCAACAAGACACCACCCCACAACCAACAACAGAAAAACCATCTCATCATAAGAACCATCCAACAACAATCTGGCGACAGTCAAACATGGATCGTAACGTGAGCAGCCTCTCCACAAGTCGTTCTCTTTCTCCCTCTACCTCATTCTAAAACTGGTTATCCCTCCAACTTAGTTCCGAGTTGGTCCCGATTACTCGATCATCGATGTCGTCGGTGAAGGTGCCTATGGTGTCGTCTGGTACGTTCCTTTGATTCGAGATAGGTTTCTATGGTGTGGCGAACCGAAATCTAACTCGGATCTCCTTTCCTCTCGATTGTGCAACAAAATACAACCTTTTCCAGTTCGGCTGTTCATGAACCATCTAAACAGAAAGTAGCCATCAAGAAAATCACCCCATTTGATCATTCGAGTAAGTCTCAACACACACACTCTTCCTTTGACTTCTTTTTATATTTAACAAAGGAAGCCTAGAATAGAGAAACAGAAACTGACAAGAGACGGTTTTCTTTTTGTTGGTTGACAATTGAATAGTGTTTTGTTTACGGACGTTGAGAGAGATCAAGTTAATCAGATGGTTCTCACACGAAAATATCATCTCGATCCTCGATATCGTCAAGCCTCCTTCACTCGAAGAATTCACCGAAGTTTATCTGATCCAAGAGCTCATGGAAACTGACATGCATCGGGTCATCAGGTCTGACACTTTTCTCCTACTATTCAATAAAAAAAAACTTGTTCTTGAGAAGAAAATCAAATCCTCACTTTGAAAAAAGAAAAAAACAAAACTGCTGAACTGACGTGATTTGCTCATTTTTTTTTTTGTAAAGGACTCAAGATCTCTCTGACGACCATTGTCAATACTTCATCTACCAAACCCTCAGAGGTCTAAAAGCTCTTCACTCTGCCGCGTCAGTCATTGTTTTTTTACCTGAAATCAAAAGTCAACAAAACATCAAAAGACTGATGAAATGAGCTACCGAATTTTGACTCTATTAGCGTACTCCATCGGGATTTGAAGCCTTCAAACTTATTACTCAACTCGAATTGTGACCTGAAAGTGAGCCAGAGAGATTGGTTTTTGGGGGTCCTATGTTATGTCGTTAGTCGCCCTGAGATTAATGTTGCTTTTTTTTTCTAGATTTGTGATTTTGGATTGGCTCGATCGGCGTTTATGGGTGAACAAGAGGCTACGGGCTTCATGACCGAGTATGTGGCCACGAGATGGTACCGTGCGCCGGAAATCATGCTCACGTGAGTCACGAAAACCACTCAGGGACAAGCACTCTCGATCACCCTGTCTCTTCCATGTGTCCTGAATTTGTTTTTATCGTTGGTTGGTTTGGGCGGCGGATCGTTCAGATTTAAAGAATACACTAAGGCTATCGACGTCTGGAGCGTGGGTTGTATCTTGGCAGAAATGTTGAACGGAAAACCTTTGTTCCCTGGGAGGGACTATCATCACCAGCTGACCCTGATCTTGGATATCCTGGGAACACCCTCACTGGATGATTTCTAGTAAGAAAAGTCTCACAAGATTCTGTGAACCCTCGTTTTGTCTTATTGATTTGGAGGTGGGGCCGTCGTCGTCGTCGGGGGTGATCAATTTTTTTTCAGTGCGATCAGTTCACATCGATCACGAGATTACATCCGAGCGCTCCATTCAAGAAGAAGAAACCGTTTGGACAATTGTATCCGAATGCGTCAGCCTTAGCGGTCGATCTACTCGAGAAATGTTTAACGTTCAATCCGAAGAAACGGATCACATGTGAAGAGGCACTTCGTCATCCGTATCTGGCTAGTTATCATGACCCTGATGATGAACCGGATTCCCCACCTCTCGACCCTAGCTTCTTTCATTTCGATAATGGAAAAGAACAGTTGAGTAGGGAACAGTTGAAGGAGTTGATCTTCAATGAGATCATGTCTTGATTTCATTCCTTCTCGTAACTCTTGCAATCAAATCAGTCAAGTTGCTTTTTTCTTAAATATACATATACAAAGAAAATATACATACACAAACAAATCTCTTTCTTCCTTGTCTTTTTTTGTTATCACCTATTCTTTTTCTCTTATGCATCTACATTATCTTGAATACACATGTTTTTTTCATTTCATTTCTTTCCTCATGTTTTAGTTTAGTTTCAGTTCTTTCCAGATCCTTCCTTCTCAAATTTCATTTTGCCAGTTTTTGTGCTTTTATATCTGTTTGATTTTTAGTTATTTCTCTTTCTCCTCCTTATAACCTTTCCTTTTTTTTCTTTTTTTGTTATGGGAATATTCTCTTTTTTTGTACTTTTTTTTCTGATCAGAGAATCACAGCAAAGAAACAAAAATCAAAAGCAGCTTGATTATTCAAGTTTTGAAAAATACATGCAAGCAATATACAATGAAAAGAGTTCTGTAAAGAATAATTTTTTATGTTATCAAATTTCTTTTTGTGATTGTCTTTGTTATACTTAAACAAGGATCTATGACAAAGAGCCATACCAATTTGATGCATGCATTAGGTTGTGTTCCTCATAGGCGACTTCAAGTCAGTTCTGTCCGCAACCAATAAAAACTTTGCCAAAAAAATCACAAACTCCCCTTTCAAACAAATGCCTTCTCTCATCGACGAAGTCGAAACCCCCTCGACTTTCGCCATGCGGACTGGCAACCTCCCTGCAGGAACCTCAGTGGTGACAAGTACATTGGTGGACTCGCTCCGCAAACGAATCGACACGTTGGCCGCCCAAAACGGGTTATCAGACACAGAGATCACGATTGACTCGACATCAGAACAAGCGGGACATGACGCGACGATCGTAGAAACGCAGGCTGGTCTGCCTCAACACGATTCTCCGCCATTGGCGATGCTCAAAACTCTCTTGAAGGACCCCGCCTGTCACCAGAATGGCGCTGTACAACTCGATAATCAAACCGTCTCACGTTTGCTCCAACTCATGGATACCGAGGCCGAAGAAATACACCAATTGCAGATCGCTGCCGAGCAGCTTGCCCGAGACCTCCAAACCCGTGTCGAGGCCATGGAAGCTACCCCACCCTCCCCCGCTACTCAACCTCAACCCAAAACAAGCAAGCAGTAAGCCTCAAACACAAAACCAACATACCAAATTAGAAATGGCAGCGGCTCGACCTGGCCTCACAATCATACACTCAAAGGTTGGAACCTCTCCGCGCAATGAATTTGTCATTCAGCTGGCCACATAATCCGAACAGGGGATTCACAAATGGGACAATCTAGTTGATAATAGCAATGAAGATTTGGATAATGAGTCTCATTGGTTTGTTTGACAACTCCACATTTGGACCTACTCAGATGAGAAAAAGAGATAAAGAAAATAAAAGATGAGATTGAATTGGTTGGAATGATATACATATTGTGTTTGCAACTAACCTTGGACAGATCTGAAAAAATAAAATATTGTAATTGGAAAAATCCTTTTTTGGACATGACTTTCTGCCCAGTATTTTTGCCCAATTGTCCTGTTTCTTAAATTTTCAATTTTAAATGTCAGATTGGCATTAATCATCCCAAAATCAATCGGCCAATTCCACTCATCATCAGCTCATCCATTGACTCATCACCACCATCATCATCCATCCCGAAAATCACCAAGAATTCAATCCTGCCAAACCAACTAGCCAAGCCTATCCATCACAACCAATCCCCACCACCAACCCAATTCATCCGTCATAGCCATTGCTGTTACCCAAACAACAGCGCTAGTCCATTGCTATCAGAGTTGACCAACTACCAACATCTCCCAACTGCATGTAAGCTCAATAATTTTTCAATAGATGTACAGAGTATGCTGATTAAGTGTGCTACTGAACCCAAGCCACAATGGTTTATAGAACGTATGAGCCAGGTACCAAGGTTGCAGCAGTGCGTATGCTAATCCAAGCAAACTCATTCGACTCAATTCAGATTGCTTTGGGAGAGCAAATATCCCAACAATCTTTCAACCGTTGGCGTGCCCTGTATGAAGAGACCCGAACTGTCATTCGCAACCCTGATGATTACGAAACCCAAGGCCGGCCTGATCTTCTCACTTAGGAGGACAAAGAGTTCATGACCGATCTTGTCAACATTGATCCCGGCTTGTTTCTGGACGAAATTCGAGAGCAGGTCTACGATAATTCTGGGACCTTAGTCAGCATGGAGGCAATACATTACTGTCTCACTAAGAGACTTGGAATGACTCTCAAGAAGGCCAAAGTCTACAATATTCGAAAAAATCTTGTCCGGAAGTATGAATTCATTGAACTAATGGAACCGATTCCAGCGGAGTTTCTAGTCTTCACGGATGAAAGTGCGGTGTGTAGCAAAGACCTTATCCGTAGATATTCCAGATCTGAAAAAGGCAAGAAGGCCTTGAAGTTGCAACACGATAACAATCCTGAACGATTCAGCTTGATACCAGCAATATCAATCTATGGCATGATAGCCTTAACAATCCTCGATGATTCTGTCGATCGACAAGACTTTGAGCATTTCCTCAAATGGCATCTTGTAAGTTTCCAAAATTTTCTTAATTGTTTACCCATGCTTCCAAAATGACTAATCTCCAGCATGACAGCTCCCTCGCATGAACCGTTACCCAGCTGAAAATAGCATTCTTGTCCTCGATAATGCACGGATACACAAGGGTGGTCGTATTCCACAACTCTGCTCAGAGGCTGGAGTGAGAATCAAATATCTTCCGCCATACTGTCCAGAGTTGAATCCAATCGAAATGTGTTTTTCAGTTGTCAAGTCTCACCTTCGCCGAACCCAAGCCCTGGTCCGAGCAATCGATGAGATAGAGGAAATCTCGCGTGTAGCTGCGATGACAATCACTCCAGAGCTTTGCGAGCAACTTTACCGACATGCAGGCTACTCTTGTACCCAGGAAGCCTACAACTCCGCTGTTATTCATGACGAGTAATTTTCATTCATGACAAGTAATCTTTGAATAATCTTACAACAACGACAGCAAAAAGAACGACTACTCCCAAGGAACACTATCATCTGACTGAAAAGCCTTGATCACTCCAATCATCTATCTGATCTTGGTCTTTTTTCTATGTTTCTGCCCCACTTACCTTTGTACTTCTTTTTACAATCATAACTCACTTCACCTACAAAAGGCTTGTTTCTTGAAGTGACTTCTTTTTTCGCTTATCATCATATCACATAACTATCATCCTGTACAACTTGAATATCAAGGTGATGTCAAGACTAATTGATGACGGAAGTCAAAAACATTCTCGGACTGAGACTGTTACTAGATCTAGCTGGTTTGAAGACTCGATCGGACTGAGAGCGAAGTGGGGGAGGTTGTTTGAGATGAGTCGTCAGCTGGGCCGGCTGAGTGCCGGAGGAGGAGGAGGAAGAGCCGGGGCAATGAACGACTGCAGGAGATGATGAAGACTATGACTGAAGAACGCTGATCTTTGAGCTCATCGACGTTAGTGATATCGCTTGCATGGTGGGGCTGGCAAACCGTGATTTCTGCGCCACTCGCTTCCGTGATGGTGTCTATCTCGCACATCGTTGTGTATTCTGTTTCTCAAAGCTCGTGACTGGCATTAAATCCAAGTTGGTGAGCGGAAAGAAACGGTCAGCTGAATGCTATTCCTCCAGGAAGAAGCCATAGTGTTTATCAGAGAAACCACTGCATCCAATGATTGGGAAGCTACAGTGGGGCAAATAAATTTACTGTCTAATTATTTCCAGTTAACCTGATGCAATCAATAAAAAATGAGATGATCCAGTGAAACAACATGAGTCAATGTTGTAATCTGATACAATCAATGGGAAAAAGATGATCACTGCTCTGATGTAAAGAAGTACAATAACTGGCATTGCTAAGGAGCTGATAGAATAAGAAGAGATTTGATACGATATGATTGAGATTGGTTGAAGTTGAGCATCTAGTGGTGCTGAGGAGCAGCTAAAGCGTATAAATAAATTGAGATAAATGGAGATAGAATCGTTGACTGAGATTGATTGAGATTGGTTGGAGCTGAGAATCTAGTACTGCTGCCGATGGAGGAGCTGATACAGTCTGTTCGTAATTGATTGAAGTGTTTGAAGGAGCTGATAAAATGAAAAAGAGGCTATTCCTCTTGGGCTCTGAGATGTAAGGAAAAGTTATGTACATTATCCCGAAGTCGAAGAACAAGACCTAAAGAGAGTCCCATTTGAATCAAAGGAGCATTGTCCAAGTTTGGAGAGCCAAAGGTTAAGTAGGAGACAAATCCGTTGGTCCTCAAGAGATCGGCAACCACGTCAACCTCAGGGTGGTTACATCCAATGAACAAAAGGTATTGTTCTATATTTTCGGCTAAAGGTATTCCTAGTTGTCCATCCTCCGCGCGATTTTGGTTCCTTTCACCAACTGCCCTATCAAGCAAGATCCCCACTGCAGTTGTCATCATTTCGGCTGTTCCAGATGGTACGCCAGCCTCAGGCGCTGCTTCCCTCTTTTTAGCCACAAGATAATTGAGATCAGATGGAGGGGATTCAAGCGACACACCCCGCTTTTTTCCAACCTAGAAGTAAAACCCAAAGTAAGTAAAAATAAGTTGATTTTATTGAATCAAATAAAAGAAACAACTTACCAAGGCATCTGCCCATATACGCACATTACCGGCTGACAACAAAATGTACTTGGAGTGATTGGTTGGATGGGGGAAGGTTGGGTGGATTCGATCAAATTTGTGATTTAAGCCATACTTGGCATAAATCTTAGACATGTACAGCTCTTGATCCTCTATGACGGACCCCTCATTGTCAGACTCGTCGGGATTTGGATCGTTGTTGCTGTCAGTCCTAGCTTCGGTACTGGTGCCTTCGTTCTGAGAAGCAGCTTGGAGTCGGTGGTTCAGCTTGTCAACAAGATTCTGATCAATGGCATTTGCCTCTTTTTTCTTTGGATTATCTTGAACAAGGTGAATTGCCCCCTCTCGTGTAGTTTTCTTCTTTTTCGATATCGTCTCAACCCAGCGGCAATAATCAGTCGGATTCTCAAGATGAATGGCACGGGATTTTGGACAACTTCGGTCGTTTGGGATGAAAGCGTCCCAACGGATTTTCGGGACCCCTTTCTTTCCGGCCTTTGCGATCGTTATGTCAACTCCAGCAAGAGCAATACTACAGGCTGATCCAACGGCTTTCTTGAATTCATCGAGGCCTATGTGATTAGGATTGATTTCGATACACAACTTGTTGGAGGCGGGAGACTTGGCTAATTTCCACTTTAACTTCTGACCCCGGTCGCGCTTCTCCAAGTAGAATTCGTAACTAACATAACATTTGAAAGGATAAACCTAAACAAATTGTCACCAGGTGGATCATCAGCAATTGAGAAATGGAAGAGTTGATAATAAGATCTGAAAAACTAACCTCAATGGGAGCTGGGCTTGGTAATCTAGAAAAGCAAGGAAGGGGAGAGTCAAACTCTTCAGAGGGGGTCACAGGAGCTGGAGAGGATTGTGAGTTGGAATGTGGGGAGGGTTGGGAAACTGTAGCTTGAGGAGAATCTGGAGTGTTTTCGTTGTGAGAACCACCTTGGCTGTGGTGTGATGAACGAAGATACATGCTGATCATATCCTGATTAGAGTTTGACTGCATTGCTGAAGTTGATGAGATGGGATTGATTAGAGGAAAGAAAGTGAAGAATGACGTCAGAGAGAAATGAAACTGGATGATGAGGTGGATCTGGATCTGGTCAGAAACATTGAATCAAAAGATTTATTCTGAAATTTGAGAATTTGAATCAAGGAAATTGGGCAAAAAAGGTGGGCAGAAAGTTTTGGCAGAATCAGATTTTTCCAATTACAAAATTTGATTTTTTCAGATCTGTCCAAGGTTAGTTGCAAACACAATACTTAAATGAGAATGATTGAAGTGAACATAACAAGAATTCAAAATATGATAATATCCAAAGCAATGCAGTTTTAGTTTTCACTACAAGAAAAAGTCAAGCAACTGCTACCAGTTGACATGCATCAAGCTCCAATCATACCTCAATGCAAGCTGAGGTCATTGAGCTGATGTAATTTGGTGGTACAACCCTGAGACTTCAAAGTGTCAACAAGTGATCCTGATCTGTTGCGGTGTGCTAGTGACATCTAGGATATTGCATACCCATATGCAAGAACCGAAGTTGATTACAAGTTCAACCCCTGCAACTCAAGGTTGAAAATCTTCATTGCACCCGGAACCACCATTGTTGCAACCTGTCAAATCATAAGCTCCCTTAATCCACTGCCAATCAATCCTGAACTGTAAGATTCTTGTTTCACCTCACCACTCGTCTAGACCAAAGGAATTCAGGAGGAGCTTGGTAATAACTCAAGTGGAGGTATATCCCAGTCCCATCACTGTCTCGGTTCCTTTCTCTATCTCTTTTTTCTTTCCTTGTTCAGTTGATTGATCTTATATTTCTCTTTCAGGCTTGTTTTTTATTTTCCTTTCATCTCCTATAAAAATTTCTTGTGTCTGTCAATTGAGTCGTAGCCAGAACAAGAACATCAAAAGGTACTTAGTGATTTCACTCCTTTCCTCATTAAGTACTCTTGTCAGCCTGCAAGTACCTTTCACAATACCTGTCACAGCTACTGTTCTAGTACTACACAGACTACAATATGCATCTTCTATTTATTCAATTTATCTCTTTATGCTTATACAGTATTATGCATTGTACATACTATATAAGCTTTGTTCTCTTCTATTTCCCATGTTCTCAGAAATCCAAGAAGAGACAACTTTACCCAAACCTTATCCAATTCCTCTTGTTCCTGAAGTCAATCTAGGATTCACTACCAGGACCGCTACTTCTAGTTATATTGCGCCGATCCCTGAACTTTACCAAGCACAAAGCTGTGGTCTAGTTATATCAGCGAATGACTGAACCTGAAGCGGCCTTCGATTTCTCAAAACTTATCACTATCCCGTTTTAGGATCCGGATTCCATCAAGGTATCCGACTCTTACTCGATAGCTGACAACTCTTGCTTTATTCATTTCTTGTCTCAGTTTCTTACTCAATTCTTTATTGCTTTTTTTCCTTTGTTTATTTCATTCTCTCAGTTATCTACTACTATTAGCATTTAATTATACACTGCAATAAAGTATTTGACATGTTTACAGGGTGTTCTGACAAAACTGTAACACTCCTGTAGCCTATGTCAACACTGCATGATGCATGGGTTGATCCTCAAGAGAGTAATTGTCCCAATTGGGCCAAAAAGGGCCACAGATCATCCCAAACAATTTAATACTGTAGTCTGTGCTCATCTAATTAAGGTTTCAATGATGTAAACCTTGTCTGTAAATTTTTCCCAAACTGCATGAACCTTAATTACACCTGTAGCCCCCTTACAACATGTAGTAGGATGTAACTGGAGGGGTCTACAGTGTATTTTGGTCTAATACCACTCAAGGGTTACAAAGTGAGTGAAGGAGTAATAATTAAGGGGTACACTTAGTGAGATACCCTGGCCCCTGGGTTATTTTGCATTTAGATTCAGGATCTTCAATAATATTCTGATTTATCCTTAAGGTTCAGAAGTTATTAGGAGATTCTGGTTAAAAATGTTATTTTTTATGGGCCTTAATAAAAAAACGCGGTTTTTCCGCGTTTTTCCGCGTTTTGACGCGGTTTTGATGCGCCGCAGCACACGCGGTTTCCGCTTTTAAACGCGGTTTTTTAATTAATTTTTTATGGGTTATTTTTTGAGTTTTTTTGAATTTTCAAGGTTGTTTCCTACACTATAAAAGGCGTAGAATTTAATGGTAAAAACCATTTTTCATAAAAATGAATTTTGATTATTAATTATTTTTTTTCACTCATTTCTCAATTAATTGTTTGCATACATGTATGTACCTTATTTTTTATGCTTTTGTGAAATTTTAAAATTATTTCCTAGGTTTCAATGTGTGTAGAATTTAATGGTGCAATCCAATTTTTTTAAAACTCAACGGTTCATTTTTAATACTGAAATTAGACCCATTTTTTCACTTAATTTTTTACAGCTTAATTCTCATCATTTTTTGACATTTTAAATTTATTTCCCACACTTTGAGACATGTAGAAAATGATGGTAACAACCATTTTTCCCCAAAATGAAAACTATACCTTGAATGCCGCATTTGACACGTTTTTTTTAATTAATTCATCACTTTTTCACTTAATTGTTTGCATACATGTGTGTACCTTATTTTCTATGCTTTTTTGAAATTTTAAAGTCGTTTCCTACATTTAAAAGTGTGTAAAATTTAATGGTAACATTCAATTCCCATAAAACTCAATGGTTCATTCTGGATACTGTAATTAGTCATATTTTTCAATTGATTTTTAAGAGCTTAATTTTCATTATTTTTTGACATTTTAAATTTGTTTCCTACACTTTCAAACATGTATAAAATTATGGCAACAATGAATTTTCATCAAAATGAAAACTATATCTTGAATAATGCCTTTGACGTGTTTCCTGAATTAATTCTTACACACTCAATTATCCTTATTTTTTGGAATTTCAAGCTCATTTCCTACACTTTTAAAGGTTTCAGAATTGATGGCTGTATCCATTTTGCATTCAAATAAAATTTGTATATGGTACAAATTATGCAAGAAACAGGGTACACTCATCTATTAAGATTGAAGCTTGTATTTTGAGTGAAATTGGACTTCACCATTCAATTCTAAACATTTGAAATAAAAAAAAATGCTTAAAATCAGGTCAATAAAAATCAATCAAAAAAACATTAAAAAAAGCCTGTCCACTGCAGTATTCAGTAACAAGCGCTGATTTTTATGTAAAATGATTGTTACCATCATTTTTATCATGTATTAAAGTGTGGGAAATAAACTTAAAATGTCAAAAAATAGTGAGGAATAACATGTAAAGAATTAATTGAAAAAAGTGTCTAGTTTCAGTATTAAAAATGAACTGTTGAGTTTTAATAAAATTGGATGTTAATATTAAATTCTACACACTTTTAAATGTATGAAAAAACTTTCAAATTTCAAAAAAGCATAGAAAATAAGGTACACACATGTATGCAAACAATTAAGTGAAAAAGTGATGAATTAATTAAAAAAAACGTGTCAAATGCGGCATTCAAGGTATAGTTTTCATTTTGGGGAAAAATGGTTGTTACCATCATTTTCTACATGTCTTCAAGTGTGGGAAATAAATTTAAAATATCAAAAAATGATGAGAATTAAGCTGTAAAAAATTAAGTGAAAAAATGGGTCTAATTTCAGTATTAAAAATGAACCGTTGAGTTTTAAAAAAATTGGATTGCACCATTAAATTCTACACACATTGAAACCTAGGAAATAATTTTAAAATTTCACAAAAGCATAAAAAATAAGGTACATACATGCATGCAAACAATTAATTGAAAAATAAGTGGAAAAAAAATTAATAATCAAAATTCATTTTTATGGAAAATGGACTTTACCATTAGATTCTACACCTTTCATAGTGTAGGAATAAATTTTAAAATTTGAAAAAACTCGAAAAATAAGCCGTAAAAAATTAATTAAAAAACCGCGTCTAAAAGCGGAAACCGCATGTGCTGCGGCGCATCAAAACCGCGTTTTTTTTATTAAGGCCCTTTTTTATTATTTAATTAATTATTTAAATGTTTTTCTCATGAAATATTACAATATAAGTGGACTGTGTAATAATGTCTCTATTATAGTGTTTCCACTTATTTAAATAGTATATTTTATTATTTTAATTGTATGTACATATGTAAGTAATAATATCTCTAATTTATAAGTAAATGCTATGTACAGGCTGGCTCTGATTAGTAACAGGCTGACAAAGATATTGTTATCACCTCAAGACTGAAGTATATGTTTACAGGTTCAGCCCGTCCCTGTTTTTCTACTGTAAGGGATATGGTTGGTGATCAGTCCTGGTCTTTTTGGAAACAGGCAATCCATAAGAAGTTTGGTAACTCATCTTGGAGACGGAAATGAAAGGAAATCAGACACTAACTTCCCTAATTAACGTGTTGGAAGACATTACTGACTACACTAGTATAGGTAAAAGAAGATCTCCTTACGGACAGAGTAACAAGAGTTATGCGTCAACTAGTACTGCAGAAAAAGTTACCAATCCAATCAAGATTTTAAATGCTATTCTTGTGAAAAGATGGGTCATACTTCCAGGAACTGCCCAAAAATTGTAAGAAAGTAAGTGTCATTAATGAAGAAGATTGCAAAGATGATGCAGGTATGAATTCCAAGAGTGACATAGAATTGGAGGATGATTCCCCTGGAATTATTTGTATAGAATCTAATGCATTAGATTACTTTATTACTTCTATTTCAGGAAGCAAAAAAGTAGTGGCTATGAGCTGCACAGGGAAAAATTGTTAAGTACTTTTGGATTCTGGTGCTTTCAAATCAGTAGTGGGTCAACAATATTTGTCTAAATATTGCCCGAAGTGGAAGAAATTTGTGAGAGGTCAATCCAAAGATAAATTTCATAGCTGTTCAGACAAATTGTCTACTTTAGGTATTGTCAGATTCAACCTAAAGTTTCAAAACCATTCCTTTGTAATTGAATTTATAGTAATTGAGAATGCAGTTGTTAATTATTTTATTATTGGCAA